ATAGGTGACATAATATCTGGCTGCTTTGTCTTTGTTGGTTAATATGAACATAAAGGAGAAAGGAGTATACATTGCAAGGAACATCCTTTTCCAGGAAATTGATATTCCTGCTCACTTTAACTACAGTCTCCCCCCCACCCCGTGAATTCTTTATTCATGGATTCAATCATCCACAGCCTGAAAATAGTCAAAAAATATTAATTTCAATAACCAAACCTTGATTTTGCCATTTTATATAAGGGACACCCTTTTACTGTGCCATTGTATTTAATGGTCTTGGTTCTGGTATTCACGGGAAGTACTGGAACCAAATCTCATGCCAATAAGAAGGCAATACAATATATGTAATTGAAAGCAGAAACAAAATAGATGCCTGGTACAATGTTTGACTCTAAGAATGAAGAGTAAACTGAACGGTCCAAGGGAATTAAATGTTGCAGAGGTACTTATTCAAAGAACAGACGAGTGTGCAACACAAGTCTTGATTAATTGGTTCTCTGTGGTACAATGCAGTGTAATACTGGTCCCTTAGAAACCAGTACCTGGAAATGTGTGCATGTTGTTTGACTCCCATCTTCCCTTGAATAGGCCTGGCTAGGGCTCATCAAAGGTGTCAATCAAAAACATCTTGAGGGCAATACATCCCATGCTCTTGGCCTGTAAGTTGTGAAGCAGTCTTGGTAGATGAGCTTGCTTACCATTAACTACTGGTGGATGTTACATCTATGCCAGTGCCAAATATAGTTAATGCTAAACATGTTCTGCACTTAACTATGGTTTATAGTGGGTCTACACATCCTCCTTCAAGTAGGGAACCTAGTTACTGTTAACTATGGCTGCTCAGCATAGACATAATGCTAAATCATGGTCAAAGAGGAGGGAGTTGGCATTTCTAAGCTTGAGAATTGGTTGCATGTTTTGTTTATAGAGAATTGACATCAGATCTGTATTGCGCCATACAGCTCCCTTTTAGAAAAATTGTAATGAAGCATATGCCTTGTCTGTAGGAAGACTCCAGGTCAGCATCTCACCTCTTCACTGTCCACAGGGTAACAGGAAACAGATCTCTTTAATTTAAACAGGCATTTGATGATTTCTTTTTGCAGAAGCATCATTTTATGGTCAACATGCTGTATTTTGTCTTTATTGTAATGTTTTAAAATGATTGTTTTACTTTTTAAATTAATGATGTTTTTAATATGACATCTTCTTTAATTGTGTTTTATCCTTTTTATCATCAAGTTTTATGCAGCTTGAGGGTTTTTAGTTATGTTTTTAACTTTCGTATATTTTTATGTGATTTTATATTATGTGTAGATGTTTTTAATTGTTTTGAATTTTACTGAAATTTTAAATGTTTTGTCTGTGAGCCACCTTGGGTCCCTCCAGGGAGAAAGGTGTCATATAAATGAAATAAATAAATAAAAATAAAAATAAATACCGGTAAGTGGGCAGTCACCAAGAATCTGGAGCCCTCAAAATTAGCAAGCATACACCCCCTTTTAATTACAGTCTCATTTGAGCCAGAAACAGACTCAGGGAGCTCAGAATAGCCCCTGAATATCCAGCTGCACCTCAGAAGCTTTCAGGGGCCATGGGTGCCGATTTTTACAACTTTTGTTTAATGAGGCACTATACAGGATGCCTTGGTGAGCCACATATCCTGTGAGCTACACAGTTCCCATTCCTAGAGTATCTGTCAGATGAGAGTATAAGACATTCCTTATATCCATAGTTTCCTTTTATACTTTTGTGATTGTAATATTTTATCATTTTAGAGAAATGAGGGAAAGACTTGGCTCCTCCCTATCAATTCCCCCCCTCGTGAGTGTGTATAGTAAAGGAAAATCCATCCTGAAATTAAATATCCTTGCAGTATTAATTTATACAAAAGTACTCCTTTTTTCTCCATAATTTTTGCCTTCAATGTAGATTTTTTTTCTTCACGATGTCAGCATATCCAGTGGGTTTAGTCTATAACCAGCTTTCTGCATAATTAGGTCATCTCATTCATTGCTGCTGTGCTTCTCCTCTTGCAGTATTTTAACCTTTCTTTTTGACAGAAAGACCAAATCCTTACAGACATGGTTTTGTCCCTGTAGAGAAGAATAGTGTCAGATTTTACATCAGCAACTAGTCAAAATGATTCTAATCCAGTGAATTTTGTGAATTCAGGATATACAATGGTGTATCAGGTCTTTTTTTAAAAAAAGCCTGCTCTCTTCTTCAAATGCAATGTCACAAACAGATAGTTATGCCTTCCCAAATTTCAGAAGTATATAATGCTTCAACAAGGCACTCTAGTCAGGAGTGAAAGAAGAAAGTTCAGCTGCACAGATATTATCTTAACCATGTGCAAATCTGCTGAGTTTTGGTCACCAGCACTATGGCTGCAGGTTGTATGTTCCCCTTCCATGAAACATTCGGATACGGCTTGCTTTGATTTTTCTGCTGAGACCTGGAAAATTCTGCAGTAAGATTATCATGTTTACCTTGATTTTCATAGTATAGCTATTACTTTTTGTACAAAGACATTCAAGAATATCTAGACACGGTTGCATCTAAATAAATACATTGCTGTGACTTCTTTGAAAGGCATATTTTTGTATATGTGTGTGCTTGGGAAGACCACAAATGGTTGTGTTTTAGTTTTCTTTATCTGTTGGCTTCTTTGTCATGCTTGACATTTTGAGTTTGGGGGTTCATTTCTGAGTGGTGGCTTCTTTCTTTTATGTTTCCCAGTGATATGATTAATTCAGAGGTAGATGAAGTGTGGCCTGTGTACAGCAGGCAGGCTCCAAATATGTTTTTGCTCCATTCTGCTCCTATGGAGACACCTTATGACTCTCCTCATGCCAAGAATGTTTTCCCATTTCTGGATCCAGTTCAGTTCATCTTTATTACGGTCATAGACCAACACAGGTAAAAAAGGGGACATAAAATAAAAGAAGGTAATGGTAAAAACAATGGTAAAAACCAGGTAAAAACAAGGTTAAAGCACAGGTTTTTGGCTTTGAAATTTTAATTTTTGATGTATGTATTCAGGCTCCCCCACCACCACCTAATTAAGTAAAAACCCACCATTACCAGAAACCCATAAGCAACATTGCAGACAATATTTAAAAAAATAACTTGGAGGACTTTTCTTTGTTCAAATTGACATATTTTTCCTTACTAAAAGGAAAGTGTACAAAAATTGAAAAATCAGTAGATCTGAGACAGAATACAATGCTGTGGTGATGGATTTTGCTCAGGTTATTTTATGAATATTAGGATATAAATGTGAATAGAATTTGGTTCAAGATGCCTTGATGCTTGATTTCAAGAGTTTTCTTCTTGAAGATTTTCTTTTTCCAAAGCAGATTTAAGGAGAATTTTTGGAACACTGAAAAAACTGAATTGTGGATTGAATTCTTGACAGAAATACATACTTTTTCATGTTGATATGGCCTGTGGTTAAGACCAGCAAAATGATATAGTTAGTTAAAACATTTTACTTCTGGAGTATATACTCTGTAAAGAAAATTTTAGCGTCAGGAAGAGAGGACCTCTGATTGTTTCACTGAATCAGTGAAAAGAATGCATTTCAGTACACATATAGGGGATGTGACTTTGTTTTTTAGCTTAGGGGATATTGAGTAAACTCTGCGTCTTATGCTGCCTGTTCAGACTGCTTTGATCGACTGTAGCTGTCCTTGCTTTGTTTTGTTTTACTGCTCTTCCTCTAAGGAATGTACCACTTCTTAGCAGGGAACTGGTTTACATCATATCTGCAGTTTATGCAGACTGCATGGAATATGATTTCTGTCTTTGGCACTTGGGCTTAGTGCAGTGAACATCATCAGTACCCAGGGTAATTTCTGTTCAATGATTTCAAACTGTTCTTGCTCATTTATGGTTTATACCACCTTTCTAAACAGCAATCAAAATCAGTTGTATCTTAAATACAGTACTAATTACTTCATTTTATATTTCCTAAATATTTTTCATGGACACGAAAATTGAAACAGGACAAACTGGTTTGCCCCTAGTTATCTGTTTAGTGCAAAACCAAGGTAGGAGGTTGTTTATTCAAAAGAATTTGTGCTTACAAGATTTAGACTGCATGCCAACAAGACCACATTATCAGGACATCAGTAGTGGCTCTAGATCTGTGTGTCCTACATGCAGGTTTGCATGGCTTTAGCTAGAGTTCATGAATTGTGAATGTTCAGCCTACAGCAAGCCCACCCAAAAATAGGCTGCCATTAAAGCTGGATTTTTAAAATATGTTCTCTAATTCAGAATGACATTAGCAAGGGTTTCTTTCTGTTATCTGTCCTCCTCTTTCTGCAGACTCAGGCCAAATCATGGTTTCCTTGATTGAGTCTATCCATCTGTAATTCGGACTTCTTTTCCTGCTGCCTTCTACCTTACCAAGCATTATAGTCTTTTCTAGTGAGTCGTGTCTTCTCATGGTTTGTCCAAAGTATGAAAACCTGGGTTTATTCATCTTGGCTTCTAAGGAGAGTTCAGGTTTGATTTTCTTGATTTGTCTTTTTAGCATACCAAGTTAGAAAATATGGACTGT